TTTACTTTCGCAAAATGAAACTTACATAAAGTATAATCTCTCGTAGTTGTTATAATCTCCGTTTTAATTTTCTCAAAAAAAACAAAAAAAAACGTGTATTTGTAATCCTCTCAACGTTCTCGCGTAATTTTGAGATAAGATCTTTTTTTCGCGCGATATGCGCTTGTTGTAAGCCGGGATTTATTGCGCAGCGCTTCACATCAATGTCTTGAAAAATATCCAAGAAACTTTTTACGCACACGCGCGCGTTTTATTTTGACTGGAAGAAATAATGTATACTCCGGTAATTGGTAATTTCGCTGTTTTAATTTCGTTCGAGGATCATCCACGGTAATAGACTCTTTTAAATGATGCTTTTATATATATATATAGCGAGTTTTCTCTCCCGGAAAACCGCTTTGGGGTAGTAATATGTTGCGAGGTATGCGCGCGGTTCAAATTACGCAACGTCGTTTACGAGAGATAGACGGTCGCTTTGTACAAAGAAAAAAAAATATCCGGATAGACCTTCTTCCAGCGGCGGCGCAAGGTGGAGGGAAAAAGAACGGCGCATTATCATATTTCAAAAGCCGCGCGCTCCATTCCGCGTCCCTGATGTAACCCGCAACAAGGAATTATCTTCGACAAGAAGTTTGTCGAGTGCTCTTTATCTCTAGGAGGATTTACATCTCGTCCCGGAACGAACTCTCGAAGATCTCGAAACGATCCTCTCTCTCTCTCTCTTTCTTCTCCCGATGTCTTCGTCGGCGATATCGCGACAAAGAAGAGTATCAATTCGGAGAAGAGAGAAGGGGAGCGGGATTTTTTATCCGCGTAAAAAGCTGCTCGTATTACAATCAATTGATTTTTCAAATTATTTAAAGAAACTTCTGGGGTGGATGAAAATTACGTGATTGCCGTATTGAAATTTTCTAGAATTAGTATGTCAATAAAATAGTCTGGCTTCGTCAGAAATTGTTATTGTCTGGCAGTCAATTCGGCGTTCGCGAAGACATTCGATTTTTTCGGATAAATAATTTACAGCGAAATTAACGATCAGGTTCTGGGATCAAGAATTTGTGGAATAAAATCGTCGACAAAAATCGTTTTCTCGAGCACGACAATTCGAGAAGAGAGAAAAGAAGCGTTGCGAATAGAACGATCGAAAAATAACGATGAGAAATAGAGAAGAGAGAGGGGATATTTTTAGCGATTTATTGGCCGTTTCGCTCATGTAAATCTGGCCGTCGAAAGTATTCGCTAACAAGACGAACGGCAGAAAAACGCGTGCAGTCATCGATTTCAAATATCCCTCCTCCTCCCCCTCCCTCCGTTTGCGCTCGCGCACGTTTATTTTTACGCTACGCCCTTACGGAAAAACGCTTCGCAGCCAGATCGACTTCCGGCGAATACGTCTGGCGCTCCTGCCCTTCCTCTCCCCGTCCCCGTGAATGCGAGCTCTCTCTCGCTAGAACACAGAGAAACGTTAAAGTGTCGTTCCGAAAGTAATATCACTTTTCTAACTCGCGAGCGAAGTATTATTTGCACTGAAATTTCTGCGGATCGAGAATTTATGGCGAAACCGAGAGAAACGATATTATCATCCCGAACGTGGTCTCGCAAACTATAACTTTCACCATGACCGAAAAGTTTTGAAAGTAAACGGTAGTGTACAAAGTGTCCGAAAGACGCAATAATCCCCTCGTTTTGAAAGAGACAATAAGATTCGGTTGTGTTACCGCGCGTTAAAATTGTTGCCGCAACATGATCGGTAATGCGTTTTTACGTCAAATCGCGGAAAGACCAATCGACCTCGAGTATCAAAAATAAAAGAATCAACATCCACAGAAAAAAAGAAAGAGAGGAAGAGAGAGAGAAAGAGGGAGAGTAAAAGTTGAAAGACTTTCGCAACGAAGTCCTGACGCTCGAGTTTTCCGAGCGGAATATAACTACTGTCGAGAGAAAACTTTTCGCTGCTTTCGCCGAATCTCGAAGGCGTCTTTTGTACGTCGAGTTCGATGCGACGGAAAAGGGGCTTATGAGGGCGGAACACGGGGCTCGCCGCTCCGTGCTCTCGCTCCGACGAACGGATGTGAAATCTGTAGTTTTACCCGCGCCGAGGGGCACGGGATGTAGTACAACGCGGCGCGCGTTGAAGACGAGAAGGTAGGGGGAGAAAGCGAAGATCCTCGTTTCTCTGCATGTTATCAGGGAGAGCCTCAAAAGGGCTAATATATCCCGGGAGAGACAATTGGCCTGCGTCAGGAAGGAGAACGCGAAGGAGAGGCAAAAAGAGGCGGGTATAAAGTGAGGGTGCGTTCCAACCCTCGGATTCCTTATAAAGACCCACTTTTGCCGTGCGATAAATGTTTGATGTCTTCCGATGCGGGATCATTGTTACGGGAGATGAACGCAGACGATCTCTCATTCACGTGTTTGTTTTTGCGCGAACATATGTTCTCTTTTTCTTTTTTTAATAAAAAAGAAAAGAATAAACCCCCCCCCAAAAAAAGAAACCCTCTATGTCAGTGCCACGACGTGAGATATTGATTTCATTTGCGCGACAGCTAGTGTAATATTTCAATCTTGTGTAAAATGATATCGGAGTTAGCGTAATATATCTTCTTTACATTGCGCTTTTGTCGCGATTCGTGCGGATCGATACGGAAAAAAAAAAGAAAAATTCATATTTTTTATGTGTTGCACAATCCCTCGTAAAAAAATCCATGTCTACCACAAATTGCGCGTTTTTGAGTCGAATGTATCGCATCTATTGTAACCTCTTTTCCGCGTTGCCGATTGGTTGGTTGGTTGATCGAATCGAGTCGAATCAAATCGGTCGATCGAGAGACTAAATGATGACAGAAAAGCGATTTTGACAGTTCGTCGTATACGTGGATAAAATTAAAACCACGACTGAAGTAAAGTCACGTGGCAAATAGAAGTAGAAAAACAAAACGTGACTAAAGTAACGTGACTGTACTTTAGACACGTGTCTTTAAAAACATGACTAAAGTAAGATCGCGTGACAAGGAAAAGACTAAAAACACCACGTGACTAAAATCACGGGACTATACTGTCTGTCACTGACCTTTCGGTAAAGATCATTGACCTCTCGACAAGGGTCATTGACCTCTCGACAGTGACGTCACGTGACCTTACTTTAGTCACATTTTTAAAGACACGGGACTAAAATATAGTCATGTGATTTTAGTCACGTGTTGTTTTTTCGCTGTTTTCTCTTACTATTTTTTTATTTTAATTTTCATGGATTTCTTCTGATATTTCTCTAATGTATATTATACGGTTTGTAAGATGTATATACTAGCTGTCATCGCGGTGATAGAATAGGTTGTGTTTACTGACACTACATGTCAAAATAAAAACAATAATAGCGTGCGCGTAATTCGCGTGTGTGTTGTGCTAAAAAGTAAAAAAACAAAAAAAAATTAATTGCAATTCTAGACGCCGAGTAGACGCGAAGCGTCCAATAATTTTGCTCGTGTTTTTATTTATTTATAATATTACATTACACAATATTTTGAAATGGTTCACGCTGGAAGATGCTGGTAACGCGCGTGTTAAATGTGTGAAGCGCGTAATTAACACAATATGCGATATTCTCTGATAAAAAATTTTATCGAGAGAGAGAGAGAGAGAGAGAGAAATCTCTCGATTATTTTTCATCGGGAAAAATTTACTCGGCAAGGAACAAAAGAGCTAATAAATATCCGGCCGAGAGACAATTCGCCCTCTTTGGGACAAACAATGGAGAAACAGAAAGGAGGTGGCGGTAAGTAAGCTTTTACTGCCATATCCAACCGTCCCCGCCGATATATTCTGTCTCGTTCGTTCAAGTTTCTCGATTATACACCCGAAGCGGAGAGAGGCACCGAAATGGAACATTCACGCAATGCGCCAAAGCATAAAATAATTACAGCGAAAATAACGATCGAACTTGAAAGGCGAGCAAGCGAAAGTTTTCGCATAATATTCATCGTTAATGAGAAGAGTGGCGCTAGAACTCGCTTGCTTGCTTCTCATTTAACGAGAAAAATTCGCGATGAGACTTTTTCACAAGACTCAATATTTTTTAAAGGTAAAACAATTAGTTTTTTTTTTTTTACTCGCTACGCAAGAAGTGCGAGGAAACATTGTAAAATATTTAAAATACTTAAAAAAATAGAGTATCGCGTAATAGACAACGAGGAAGGAAAGAGAAGAGATTCTGTACGGTAATTTTGAGCGAAAAGCTCGCTCACGTGTCCACTTGAATTTCAACTTATGCGCGCGGCGAAAAAAAAAACAGCTAGATACAAGAAGAACAAGAAAACGAGCGCGCACGTGCGCGAAGAGAGACGAAAAAGCGGATTCTCACTCGACCCCTAACATCCTCTTTACATTCTCTTCTCGGAGAGGAATCCCCGAAGAGACGGGAGATGTGGCGCGCGCGGTATAGCTATGCAATAAAATGTCGGCTGCCGTGCCAAGCGGCCGACGGATCACCGACGACTTATTGAAAGGATATTTCATTCGGACGAAAAAGAGAGCGAGAAAGAGAGAGAGAGGGAGAGAGAGAGAGAGAGACTTCCCTCCATCCAGCTTATCCCCGCGAATTTCCCGCGGGGGTGCGGAAATCTTTCCGTCATTCACTCTCCACCTTCCTAACGGAGGGTTGAGGAGGAAAGAAACGGGTTTCTTCGTTTCGTGCTCGAATTCGCGACGTTGCGGAACACAACCGCGTCCCCGACTTTTCACTCGGGCGACTCGCGGAAAATGAGAGAAACGCTCGCATCGCGACAGCGATACGTGAAAATCCGTATTTACGACGACACGTCTTATGTAATGGAAATCTTTTGCACGATTTATTTTGCGAAGAGCAGACGCAGCCCACGCAGCGAGAGGTGGTGGAACGCGCCGCGCTCCATCCTTTGAAACGCGAATTTAATAAGTGACACAGAACGAGGAGAGTTGCGCGCGACGTCCGTCCCCACGTCACTCTCTTTCGCGTCGTTTCTTTCAGTTGAAACTGGTTGAACATCGTTCGGGAAGAATCGCGTTTCCAGTCGCAACATGACATTTTGTGACGTTATTGCTGCCTTGTTGTTTGTACGTTTTGTTTGTTATTTATTATGTGCTATTTTTTAACAGTATACGCGCTTCGCGTTAAATTTTCTACTGCCGTACGTAGAATTCCAACGAGCCAAGTTATGTATAAAATATTTTTTTGACATACGCGAAATGTCGTCGTGAAGATGTTCGTGCGAGTTTTGGGAGTTTTAAGTTTACACTCACTGTGATTCTTGAACGCGAGCCTTGCTATTGCGAATGTACAGCGCACTGCCGACACTGCCGACGACCAAAATCAAGGCGCACGCGAGGGTGGCCGCGACGTAAAACACACCAGCTCCGTTCACGAGCGGTCCAGGTTCCAGACGCACCGAATCATTGCTAGGAGGAGTTTCGACACCTGAAAACAAAATACACAAATTACGTGTTTTTCATTATTATTATCATCTTTCATGTGTTTCGCACATTCTTGCTAATAACACAAACTTACAAACATATTGCATTTACGTAAGAGTGTTTGGTTACGTATTATATTAATAAAACGAAAAATCACATTGAAGATAATGAAATTAATGCAATTGATTGAAAACAATGTTTTACGTTTTAGTGAAAATTAATATTTTTCAATGTTCACGTTCTCAATACATATATGGGCGCGTCAAATATTGAAAACTCAATATTTCTGATGTGATAAAACAATGTGCACACACGACGGAAACTAACGCGTGTAACAGCTGATTTTATTACGCATATATAATTTTATTTTATTTCAACTAATTCCTGTTGAAACAAAAACAAAAAAAAAAAAAAAGAATTGATACGAGCTCGTACATATTCTCTCGCCGAACATAAAAGTCGCGGAGGGACGTGGAAGAGAGGTGGCGCTGCGTTTTTATATTCGTCACGAAATAAATGTATTCAATCAAAGCTCGCGCGCGAGAGTGCTATTATGGTATCGGCAATCCATTTTGTCAATTGGAGCATTTCCACTCGAGCCACGTGCTCGAGATCGGGAATCTATCGGGAAGCCCTGGGACGCGCGGGATTGTACCATTGTTTATACGCATCGCGGCGCGCTATATCGAACGAGACAGAGGGCGAGTGCCGACGAGCCGCGGAAAGTGCTCAAAGAGATCTCACTTTGATGGTGAGTCGTTGACCGCAAATTACGTATTTTCCAGCGATCACAGGTTCTTCTCTCTGTAACGCGGTTTGATTTTCGCACGCAATTTCTTTACGCGCGTCGTTTTTGCGTTACGGTCGCTCCCAAAAATAGATACACTCGCTAATCAATCCAACAGATTGAAGAACGAGATAAACTTGATGTTTAAAATCATAAGTTAATGAACCAAACAAAAGTTCAAACTGATAAAATTTAACAAGATTTTATTACGACGTAATAGTTTGGAAACGAGACATTTGAGATAAATATATTAAAAAAAAAAAATAGAAAATATATTTGGAACAAAAACTGCAAAATTGTTACTGCAAAACAGCATTGACAAAAAAATATATTGTTAGCTTAACAAACCTACATTGGTTTTGCAATGTTTTTTTTTTCTTTTTTGGACGTTAACGTCGTGTAGATCCATTTTATCAGTGTGATTTGAAAATGATTTGAAAATTCCATCACCAAAGAAAAACAACTGTTACATGTATTTGAAGAGCAAACTAATAAACTTTATTAAAAATAAATAGTTGAGCTCTCTTTTTTAAACATTTACTTTCCACGCGAGAGTAATAAATGGCCAGAGAACTACTTTAGATGATGATAAAATATTTCTGGGACCAACTTCTCTCAACCATCTTTCTTCTCTAATAATAATAGTTTTGTATTTCTAGCGTAACAAATTACTTTTTAAATTATATTTTTAGATGAAATGTTGGTTTTATTAAAATATGTTTTATTTAATAAACGAAATCTTGACCAATCGACCTAGTTGAGAAAACTTTCGTAAGTTTTAAGTTTTTCACGAAAAAAACAGTCTGAAAACGAACGAAAGTTCTCTCGTCTACCGAGACGAGAGACTGCTTCTCTCTCTTCTCTTTGTGTCTCGTGCGCGTTTACATTTTTCCGTGCATCGCTCTCTGACATTTCTCTCTATTCTTTCGCGTGTGTGTAGCGAAAAGAAAAGACTCGGGTCGAACGAGCGGCGCCTTGTCGTCTCTTGTAAAGGTAAATAACGTGGCCTAGACGGAGGAACTTTAGCGCAACGGCTCAAAAGCTTTCAAGAACCGAGCACGTCGGTGCTTCCCGAACCAGAGATACGCCGAGGGAGGAAAGAGACGCGCATCCCTTCGCGTCGAGCGTCATAATAAAATTAAGTAAACTCCATCAACTCTTAATTCTCTCTCTCTCTCTCGTTTCCGAGATTATAGCGTCGTATAATCCCCAAATGCGTTCCTTCACATCAGCGCGTCAGCCGTCGGGGTCTCAAAAATCTAAAACAACTTCTCATTCTTCGGTAACTTATCTTGTTACGTGAACGCGCGATGAACGGGAACCGGAGTCTCGTGTTTTATCGCGGTTTTATTTCTCTTCTCGTCTCTCTCTGTGTTTGTGTGTTTGTGTGTGTGTGTGTGTGTGTGTGTGTGTGTGTGTGTGTGTAACTCCCACATGTAATTATATTTTACACCGCGTGAAAGTCTCGAGTTTAATTTTTTTCTTTTCTCTCTCGCGCTACAAAGCAAGTCTCATTCGGGTAAGTAACATCAATGTCCGTTACGGGAATAAAAATGGTGTAGCCTTTCTCTTTCTCTCTCTCTTTCTCTCTCTCTCTCTCTCTCTCTCTCTCTCTCTCTCTCTCTCTGAAACGTTCGTTAGACAGTCGTAGCCGCGGTGAGAATGATAGTGCATTAAAAATACACACTGCCCGCGGCGCGAGAGAATCCACCACCGTGAGGATTAAAACATCGTCGACACACGCGCAGTCATTTCGCGTAATTTTCTCCTTCTTCTCTTTCCAACCTTCGTGTCGCAAATTAGAAAGATTAAAAAAAGAAGAAGTAACGAAAAAGAACTCTTTTAAAAAAAAAATTGAAAATTGAGTTTTCGATCTCTGTCGAATGTGTCTGCGCGCGTTGTATATCGCGAGAAAGCTTCTCATATTTCGCAAACGTGTTACGCGTGTGCAATTCCGATTGCCATATTGTGTATAACGTATAGCGAGCGTGTGCGTTAACGTTCTCGCGCGCTAATAAAAATTTCAACTATATATTTCCGCTCACGTGAAACTCTGAAAAATTTATCTTACGCTCGACCGTGTAATTTTTTTTTTTTTTTTTCACAAATTCTCTTGGTTTGACGAGATACACGTCGCTGTGACTCTAAGTTTCGAGATTGATTCGTTTCTTCTCTCTCTTCGCTCGCTTTCTCGCCTCAGAAAAGAAGGATATAGACATTGTACCTCCCGCCTCCCTCCTTTCACTTCTTTCCTCTCTGTGCCAGGATAATATAAACCAAGTAGATCAGGTTTACGTCAATATATAGCCAAGGAGCTCGGAAACATTGCTGGGACACGAGATATGAAGGCGAACGAGCAAGATGAGAAAGAGTTTGCGTTCGAGCACGATGAGAGAGAGAGAGAGAGAGAGAGAGAAAGAGAGAGAGAGAGAGAGAGAGAGAGAAACAGTGCGCGCGCGTATACGCGAGCAGAAGAGAAAAAGTTAAATAAATCGTGTAGCAACTCTCTCGGATGCGCTAGAGCAACTTCTCACGGGTGGAGCGGTGTCGTTGCTTCGCCATAGTCCTTTCTCTTCCCCACATCCTCCTAAAATATTTCTCACACGCGTTGCAACGTGTTCACCAGATGGATAAGCGCTTCTTTTCGAGAGATTTTACTCTCATTCCGTTTTTCCATTCCGAGATTACACGGTCGCGTTTTATATTTTGCGACATTCAATTTTTTCTTGCGTCGCTTGTATCGACGACGTTAATTTTATTTGGTTTAATTTTTTGTCAGGTAACGTTCTTTTTACTTTTGCTATCGAACAAGTATTTTTGCGTGTATGTAAATGTCAAGAGTATTTCACGTTCATATCAGGCACATCAGATTACGCGCTCTTTGGCGCAAAACTTTGGCTTCGACACCGCGCTATCATTTAACAGTCGAGCGACACGAGAAGGCGAGTCTTCATTTTGCACGGGGAGAAGTTGTCGAAACACGAAGTAAATCGATCACGTTGCTCAACGTGCTCGGGAGAACGTTGGAGTACCCATCGACGTAAGTTATCGCGCGAGCCGCCTACTCCCAGAAACTCGGAAGACTTGAGAGAGAAGCGACTACGAGGAGATAGTCAGGAAGGCGTGTTAGAAGAGCGGACCTCTGCGTATCTCAATTAAATCCAGCCGACCTATGCTATCCGCCACCATCAGACAGACTTTAACCGAGATTTACGGAGCTCGGGAATTAAGTCTCAGGAGGATTAACAGGGTGACCTTTCGCGAATCGCGTTTCTCCGTTACCGAGCTGTGTTGATTTTAGAAACAAATTTCGTCAAGTATTAAGAGAATTTCACATAAATTTCACGTAAATTACATAGATTTTTGTGCGTTCTTTTTGTCTGTTGCGCTCTCGTCTCCCCCATTTCACTCGCCTCTTCAATATTCATCTCGGACAAAATAAAAAACGTTTCGTACATTAAATATGTCTGACGCGTTTCAATTTTTATAGAAAAATGTCCAAAATAAAAGATCGAACCCGACGCTGTTTGTCGCACGCGCGAAACATTTTGTGTTTTTGCGAAACTTACAAAAACACTCAACAATTCAAAACAACGATATTTTTCGAACGGTATTTTTCACAAAAAGAAATATAAATATTTGCAGGGAAAGAAATATGTGGAGAAAAAATATAGTCGCGCAAGATACGTGTCGTTTATTCTCTCGGCAATGCGTAAAACCTATCTAAAAACGTGTCGCGACGCAAATTGTGAAAAAAAATCGAGACTTTGAATATGAAAAAAAGAGACAAAAAAATTCTTGGATTAGAAACTGAGCGTTAATTTAAACAAAAAAAAAAAAAAATTAAATTCATTTGAAACGGCGCGAACCCCAACCGGACGATTTCCGGTAGGTACGCGCGCGGGTATAGGACGAGTTTCATGTAGAGAATTCGATTATTTTCGAGTGATCTCTCGAGGCGCTTTCAGATTACTGCTGGGACCACTCGAGCTCGAGCGGGAGAATCCCGACGAAGGATTTGTCGGAAACCCGGGGACCGAGTTTCTCCTCGACGAGAAACGGACATACACGGAAGAAGCAAATTCGACAAAGCGGGAAATCTGCTCTTCAGGGCGCGCGCGAGAGACCGGTGGGGTCCTTGCCGCCGCGCAGAGAGACGCTTACTTATTTTCGTTCCTCCTCGTCCCTCCCACCCTCTTCTCATCCCTTAGCGGGTTTCTCTTGTCCACTTTCTTTCGTTTTTCTGCGCGGTCGATCCTCTTGATCTTCGGTGAAGTAGGGAGATTCTCTCTGCCCTCTCTTCTCTTTCATTAAATACACCGACCCCCGGCGAGATTCAATTTTACTCGGCGGATTGCTTTTTGTTGTACCGTCGCCTGCTTCGGTAACCAGATCCGGATCCCGTGCCTCCTCCTTTCCTTTCTCATTTCGCTTTGTCTCATTCTTTTTTTTTTTTTCATTCTTTTCCGTTAACAGTGTCGCGTTGTTGGTCGTTCCACGTGTCGTGTAAACGCGCAAAACTTAATTTTCACAGTTCGATTGTGTTTCGTATTACATTTCCTCTCCGGTCTCTTTTTTCCATCTTCGTCTGTTCTTACGTGGTGAGAGACGAGGAACGCGAAATCCGCGCTTCACAATATTTTCGCGAGGATTACGTTGGTTATTTTTTTCTTTTTTTGAGGGGGCTGAAGCGCGAGGCGAAAGATTTCGTACTTTTAATAATTTAGTTGTTTGCGCTTTATATATCGCTCTTATTTTGTTTCACTATCGTTTTTCACCCCTGCGTTTTTATAAAATACAATTTTATTCGCATTCTTACCTTCCTTCATCATCGGAGAAATCCGTCAGTCAATTCTGCGTTTCAATTTGAAAGCAGAAATGTAATTTCACATTTTGCTGCGGCGCCCTCTGTTTTTTTTTTTTTTTTTTTTTTTTTCCACAGCGCGCGCAAGGTTTATTTGCCGAAAAACAGTTTGAGCGAAAACTTCGTTTTAGTTACACGCAAAATCCACTGTCTACGTACGTAAGCTATTGTGACGCGGGGACGAGAAATGGGAGAAATCGGAAGCTATTTGCCAGATTGCATCCATCGTTGCATTACGCGCCACTTGTTTTTTCAGAAAACACACGTTTTCGTGCTTGCGTGAGTGAGCCCGCCCCGCCCCGCCGCTGTGTGCGAAGTGCCCCGCCGCGCGCAAAAGCTTACGAGCACCCTTGTGCGCGCAAGTGGCGCGGAAATTACCGTTTGTATCTTCGTTCCGTTATAACATTTCCATTTCTGCGCTCTGCGCATAATGTAAACTTACACGTGTGTATATATAAATTACTCGCTATGTACATATAATTACTTAAACTATATTACGCGCACATTTCGCGACGTATTTATGATCGCGAACGGTGTTTGTTCAGCTCGCGCGAGGTTAACGTTATTCCGTTTGTTGCAAAATCAAAGAGAGGATCCCCGTCACCTGCGACGTCGTCGCTTTCGCCGTCGCGTGTTTAACAAGGCAATTATTGTTGTTATTATTATTATTATTCGCGCAATTCCACCTCCGCTGCCATTTTTCACGTCGCGAGAGAGACGCTCTCTCGTTCCGAGAGTTAGTTTTCTTGTGTGACATTAAAAAGCGCTTATAACCGTGGCGCGTCAAAGTTATCGAGGGAGTGCGCAGACCGGGAGAGAGTCCATAAATCGCGCGGATAAATTGAGTTTGCGCGTGACGCAAAATGAATGCGCGCTTCTGTTTTAATCGCAACCACGTCGAAACTGTCTCGCCGTAACGAAGGCATTCAGTCGGGCTCGCGAACGTGCTAATTAAATTCGAGATTACGTAAACGAAATAATTATTAACAGACTGCGATGGCGCTAAAGTGAATAGCGAATAAACAAAAGCGCGCGTGTGTGTGTGAGTGTTTCGCGTTGCGTGTCGCTCGCGTTACGTTTGTGGGATGTGACGAGACAGAAACTGTAACATGTATATATAATATATATATATATATGTAATATATATATATATAATATAACATATATGTAACATAGATTGTAAAGCTAGAATATAGCACACCTTTCAAAATACATCTCACATCAGGTACTGTGTAGATCGATAGATACGCGACAGTGCATTGCGAGTGCGAAAATACAGCAAATGGCCGTGCGCGAACCCTTCGCGCCTATGTAATATTGATGGATGAATTTGAATGAAAGAGAGGAAAAGGAAATTAACACGTTAAATTAATTAATTATCACAAGATCGTTTCTCTTAATTTATGCGGTTAATTTATGCATGATGTGATAGGTGCTCAAGTACATCGATTCAATCATTGATTTCGTATTGATATAAAATACAAATCTAAATTTGCGAGAGAGTGTCAGAAACGTGAGCAATTTCGAATTTTGCCGAGTGTGGGGAAGGGAAGGAAAAAAAATTGCAATTACACAACCGGGAAAAATATCACTGAGCGCGGAAAGGGAATATTAAATAATTTGCACGTAAGCAGTTTCAAAATTTTAAGTGAGACAAACGGCGAACTCCGTCCGTCGTGATGTTTTCAGCGGTTCTGAATAAAACAACAGCGGAAGAAGAAAACGCCGGGTCGCGCATTCAACACAGAAAAAAAACCACGAAGAGAAAAAGAAAGAAAAGGAAATCTAGGATCCGGGATCTAGTTCTCGGTTAATGCGTAGCCGGCATGAAACTCGCGAGATTTTAAACCGCGCTAAATATAATTTTCATGCACGCGAATAATAAAACGAAAGGACCGCGCGCGCGCTCTCTCTCTTTCTTTTCTCTCTCTCTTTCTCTCTCTCTTTCTCTCTTCATCGCGCACAGGAATAATAATAAAACGCGATTTTTAACCTCTTCAACATTTCGTGGGAATTAGCATTTAGCGATTTTTCTTAGCAAAATCATTGCGATCGCTAGCAACAATTCACCTTCAATGAAGAACGACTCGTGTGTGTCACGCAACAAACCTTTCAGACAGATTTTGTTCCTCTTGAAAACCAAAATGGTGTCGTTGTACTTGCCGCCGGGTGGCGCGGTAACGTTCAATCTCAGCGCCAGAGGAATTTCGGCGCTTACACGGCCCGAGCACGGCAGTCTGATCCTGAAGACCTGAAGGGTGACCGGAATCTCGCCTACGGCCGATACGTTTACCCTCGGTGGAAACAGCGCTTCCATCATCGCGGAAGACGGTCCGCCCGGTACACCCACCACATCGTAATCAAGTTTCATCGAATACGTTAACTGAAAACACAAGAACAAACTTTAAGAAGTCTTTATATTTGAAAACACAAACAATGCGTTAAAATTATTCATAAAACGTTTCGAGACTCTCGATCGTAATTTTTTCACATTGATTTTTTAAATTGCCTCAGTGATTCAAAAAACTGGACGTGTGGCTGGACATTTAGAAATAATTATGTAAATATTAAACACAACAATTTTTTAAGATAAGTTTTAGATAGTAGTTTTCTCAAGTTTATGTAAATACACTTGGGTACAATGATTTATTTATTTTTTAAAATAAATATCTGGTCAGTGGTACCACTTGGGACACTTACTTCGAGAGTAAAAAAAATTCAGCTTGCTTTATCTCGCATGAACGTTATCTTGACAAACTGCAAGCCACTTGGTGAGTAATGCGCAATTTTTAATAGAGCTAAATCGTGTTGATAACTTAATTTACGCCCTCGGTGTGTAAACCTCTTTCCCGCGAGTCGATATTTTGTAACGGAACGGTATTCCAGTTATCGTTTTGCTGGATGCGAGATACGCCGGCACGTAATAAAAATAGCTCGGACGTCTATAAATCATGAGGGACCCGCGGCACACACACCCTTTCCCGCGTCGCGCATATGATTGCGCATATTAACGTTATAGATACGTGAAATACATATATCGCCACCGCGCGTATATATCAGCCAACGCGCGATATATTTCACGTTAAATCCCCACGTCGGGGTCTATTTCGTATTTACTGCCGACTATCTCGTAACATTTAACCCCGCGCGAGTCGAGTTTGACACGACGGGAGCTGACCAGAGAGAGAAAGAGGAGTGGTGTGTGCAGTCTCGCGCAATCCTAGAAAACACGACTGCAACTATATACCTTTCCTCCCCTTTCTCCTCCTCCTCCCTTCTCCCGAGTTCTGTCATACGAGATTGGCGTCTCCGAACGAGAAGCGACCCAGGTAAGGGGTAAGAGTCGCGCGATTCGGAACGAGGGTAGTGGCAAGTAGTGTGCTCGGGCACGCCACAAGTTTTACGACGTGGCATAAATAACCTGGTTAGTGCTTCGTGATGCGGTGTCAACGGAAAGGCGACTCCACCCTCCGCGCGCGAGCACCGTCGGCTCGCCGGTAATCGTCGTAATCGTCGCGCCGGGGGGTCACGCGGTGGCGTGATACCTGACTATCGTACACCTGCCTCCTCTCTTCCTCCCCCTTCCCCCTTCCCACGGGTTCGCGACGTACCTCAGAGAGATCGCGCACCTGGGGCATTTATTATTTTCTTTTCTTTCCACCCTGCGCTACGTGAGTGGAGTGCACGTGTGAGTCCCGATGCGGGAGGAGGGGGGAAAAAAAAACGTGAGCGAGACGAATGGACCGTGCACGCGTGTCACGGCATTCCCCGTGGACTCCGCATGCGTAAGATATCAACACACAACAACGGCGTCTCTATATCGCGACTCCTGAAAGCAGCTCTTAGATCATTCCGCCGTGTCGCGGGTCTTACCCTTTAATTACAGAAAGTGGTGCGATTTATTTTTGATTCAAATGTCGCGCATCACGCGACTGCAAAACGCAGTCGTCGACGAGGGAAAAAACTTTCTTTTTTGTTTTAGTAAAGTTTTTTTTTATTGCAATTTTATAATTTTTATTAATTCGATTTTACAGTTTTATCATTCTTTTTACACGAACTTTATTGCTTTACGTCAGCAACGTGTGTCCACTTTGTGTGAAAATTCCATTCCAAGAAACGTTCTCTTGACAAGCACTGGAAGCGCATAAAGAGCGCTTCGATCTTCTTCGACAGAGAAAGAGAAGACAAACGACTCAATGACATTTTCGATTTTCTTTAGGTAGGCACGCGAGTCTTTTCATACTGCAGGTTCGATTGTGCCCCGACATTCGTCCTAATTGACGGTAACCTAATGACGATGCGGTTGAATCGAGAACCGGAGCGCGCAGTCGAGGGTAGTTTCGAGAGACGGGACGCGGTTTGCCTCGTAATCGCTTCTCGAGGGTGGCGATGACGTGACATCTATCCGTCGCGTTCGAGCTGAGCGGATGGGGGGATAAAGTGTGTTTTCACCCGTTTCTACCTATACGCGACGGGCGGTAATTGACAGAAGTGCCTCGTTCTCTCGTCGAAAAGCCACCCTTTTCTTTCATTCGCGCGCGCCACTCGTTTTCTCCCACGATAAATCAACCCGGAGTCCCGGAATAAAACCGTGTTCGCCGTTGCTCTCGACGTTGCTCTCAAACTCGTCTGGTTGAGAGAAATGGCCACTATCTCTAAACAAATCTAGATTGATTTGTAGTACACGATATGTACAAGCGGGAGGATTTTACAATTCGAAAAAAAACGAAAAATTTAGAACAAAGCTAACAAATTATAAAAATAATCAAATTGATGTATGTAAATGCGTGTGTTTAATTATAAAAAAAACTAACACAGTTTTTTATTAGAATTCCAGTAGATTACATGACGATCGCGTTTTATTAATTTTAGAAGGAAGTAGCAGCTTGGGATAATATTTTTCTTGAAAAAAGAAGTTCGAACTCGAGCCGTACCGGATTGATTGTATATTTTATGCTAAGTTTTTATCATTATTGCTCTACCACTGTTGCTCGTTAAAATATTGCAAATTCCTCGATAGACAGTCCGCGAGATGAATCGTAGATTTTGATTGTTCTCGTTTTTGCGATAAAGAGAGAGAGAGAGAGAGAAACGGAGAATGGAAGGTGGAGTTCGAGTGATTTCCTGCAGCTGTAAGCGTTTGCTTAATATCCAGTCTCGGATTCCCGTAATAGCGTAAAAATGTTTGCTCAAGAAGCGTCTGCTTTTCTCGTTGCGCGCCCCTCTCGAATCCGAGAGAGAGAGAGAGAGAGAGAGAAAGAGAACACACACAGTCATGAGCGCCGACGTGAACTTGTTTTTTCTGAGAGTCGCAAAAATTTTCTTGGGGAAACTCGAAGAAAAGTTCTTCTCGTGCGTTTATTAATTAATGGATCGACGAATGTGTGTATTGGATTTCATACATGTTGCATTTAAGTTTCTTCGTAAACAACGGGCGCCGTCATCTCATCGCGATCTCGTACGATTTTTAAGAATTCGTCAAGTAATTTGTTCTCCGCGTAAACAATTTATTTTTCGTTTTCAAATTTTCTCCGGCTTTAGAAACAGAGATTTGTTCTGCTATTCTTAAACAATCAAACACTACAACACTCCTCCCGTACTCGATTTTGATGCTTCGCGAGCACCGTGTCACGGTGAATTGCGATCCGTCAACCTTCTTCCGCGTTTCCCCGCACGCGTGTACGAGAGCGCGCGTGTGTGAGTGACAAGTTCGCGCGTGTTCTGTGTACAGAGCAAACTCGGATTCGTACGAGAGACGACGACGGCGCGAGGCGATGCGCACCACCGCCATTGTTGCTGTCGATGAAAAGGAAGTCGTATAACACGGGGGGAATCCTATCATCTGACACCAGGAAGGAAACGCCCGTGGCTTTTAAAAGGACGAGAGGGTGGCAAAATCCCCCTTCGCGCGTTTTACCCCCTCTCTCCTCCCTCCTCCTCTCATCGCGCCCCCTCGATTTATACCAAAATTATGCCACGATTTTGTATTATCGGACGGGGGAGGGAGGGAAGATTTTGTATTATCGCACTGGGGAGAATATTAAAGGAACGAAGGCGGGCTGATTTATCCTGGAATTATTCCCAGGTCGTATTATTCGCGTCCTCTTGCGTTATTCCAGTGAGCGAGCCCGCCGGTTGATTCGGCTGGATGCGCGTGAGCGATGAAAAATGTGCGGCCATGCGAAAAGTACGATGATAAACGCGGCATGAAGCGTACAGAAAAGGGTCAACGCGCCGCCGATCGCGGCTTCGGTGATTAATTGTGGTGTCAGGATTTTCGAGATAGGTTTCAATATCGCGGATCAGTCGGGCGTATGTTGCAAGTGCTAATACACACGTAGACATAGTGTACACATATATATATACATATACATGACATATAGATTTTTCACAGTTCTTGTCTTATTAATTTTATTAGGCGTGTTATTAATTTTAATTGGCGATACACAAGTTTACATTGTACGAAGGTAACTCGAACGTCAGTTTCTTTTTTTCACATTTAAACATTTTAAAATAATTTTTAAGAAATAACATTGCGCACATTTTGATCTGTCGCCAAGATCTGTTGTCAAATATTTTTCTCATTGATCTTGTTTTCTGATCTGAAAATCGTCCGCAAATTCGCTCGCGATTAAACCCTCCCATCGGGATTATTTTTCTCTAATCCAATTATTTTCGGCAATAGGCAAATTTCGCCGTGGAAAGCGTTTTTTTGTTAAATGAAAGAAAACACGTTAAGCAAATATTGGCAAAACGTAGTTATATCAATTTTCGCGTAACCAAAAGTACATGATTCAAACCGATATCCATCGGTGCATGACGAAATTAGTTACGTGTCGCTAAACACTCGGGGCCATCGTTCGTCCCGTAATTTTTATGGGAATTTTACGGCGGATCTTTTACACGATTGAATCCATATGGTTTTTACTTTGGTATATATACGCACAAACGGCAATTAAAATCGCGTATTTTTGAGCTCACGGATATATATACATATATATATATATATATCATACGCACACGCACGTGTGTTTTCATTTTAAATTCAAAGTTAGAAGTGCCATAGTATATTTTTGTTAATTGCGCGATTCCAAATTATAAATTGAAATTTCGCGCACACGGAAAACACTCAATGGCGATTTATGATTTTCCATGCATACAAATCGAACTTACAGAGTCGCGCGTAAACAATGTCGCGACACGTAAAAACACGAGAATGTTGAACTTCTATTTAGAAATAGAACACCACACAACACCAAAGTGTATATTTTATAATAGGAAATGTGTAAATGTGCTTGTGATCCTCAAATATCGAGATTTAATTCATTTCTTTTATATTAGAAAAAATGTCTAGAAAATTGTAAAACAAAAAAAAACAAAGAA